ACGACACCACCATCGAAAACACACCTTGGAGCCCCGGTGGAAGGGCCTGCATCAGGTGCTGCTCACTACCCAGACGGCTGTTAAGCTATCCGGCATTGCAGTGTGGATACATGCTTCGCAGTGTAAGAAGACACCACCCCCAGCAGACCAATCATCGCCTCAGAACCACGCAGGGTCAATTTTGACTCCAGAAGACTACATAGAGGAACAGCCTGCAATACCTTACAACCTACGTTCGTGTAAGGGTTGCCAGAAACAGACGACGACCAAAAGCAAGGCCCGAAAAGAAGCAGTAGCGAGCCTAGTGCCTGCTGCCTGGTGGACATAAAACCGTGACTGCGGTTCCCTCAGTTGAGGTGGTCAGAACCAAAAGTGTCTTGCCTTCAATATGTGCCTCTGGTGGTGCCTGTTCCTTGGCCACTGGTGTCTTAAGGTCTGGGGAATCCACAATGACAATTCTTTTATTCACCAACAAGTATGGATCGCTCAGACCCTTAATATCTCTAATTGCTGGGTCTGCAGCCACATCCCAGCCCACTCACAAGCTGGTGTTCCTGTTTTGGCAATCCCACTTAATTCCCCAGGCCTTACCGGAGGACCTCATCCGTTTAATAAGACGTGGAACAGTAATGACACTTGGGAAGCAGTGGGAATAAATGTATATAAATGGATAAGTGTGGTGGAGAGAAAAGGTCACTGGTGTTGGGTGTGTAATGGGACGGGGCTGAATCTGGGGAGGAGCAGTTATCTCCAGCATATTGTAACCAATGGTGTATGGGATTATTCAAACAAGATAGGAGAATGGAGGACCAGGTATGGGGATATGAATTTTTTCTCAACCTGGGATCAAACAGGGAAATCAATCTCATGCTCCCCCTACAGCCACCCTAGTGAGAACAGTACAATCTTTCAATGCCGTGCAAATAACACCACACCCCGTAAGGCGAATTACCATGTGCTCCTTTGTAGACACCCGTGTGTCAAATGGGTGCAACCGACCCTTCCCGGCTTTGATAGGGCATCATTGGGACTGTGGGACAAAAGCCTATACTGCGTTACCAGTTAACTGGTCAGGTATCTGTTATCCCGCCCAACTCTTCCCACAATTCCGAGTGTTAGAGTCCTTCCCACGAGAACACCTCCATAGTTTTAGGCAAAAAAGGAGGGACTTGTCAGATGCCCAATGGTATGTGAATCACAGAAGCCCCTTAACTTGGGAAGAGGCTATTGGTGGTTCCTTTATCCCATGGGGGATAAAGGAATACATCATTCAAAAAGGCTCCTGAGGTTACAAGCAGTAGTTGAAATCATGGCAAATGAAGCTGGAGAAAGTTTAAGGGCCCTGGCCAAAGAAACAGGAGCGAACCGACAGGTGGCCCTCCAAAACCGTCAGGCATTGGATATAGTGCTGGCAGCAAAAGGAGGGACATGTGCTCTCATTGGAAAAGAATGTTGTGTATATATACACACCAGACAACACCAATGATGTAACAGATCGCACTAGCCACTTGGAACAGATTGCATATCTTCCCCACGAAGAGTCAAGTTCCCTGTGGAAATGGCTAAGTAACGTCTACAATTTCTCTAGCATAGGATTTCTCTAATTGTTTCAGGGAGCCCTGACTATCCTATTTGGGATCTTAATGATTTTTGTATGTTTTCAGTTAATCTCCTGTTGTATCCAAAATTGTGCAAGACACATCACATAGCTAGCTACCCCTAACCAGAGTGCTTATCTAATGATTTTAAATATCACTGATGAACAGAGAGAAAAAGAACAGTTAATGGCTACCCCTAACCAGAGTGCTTATCTAATGATTTTAAATATCACTGATGAACAGAGAGACAAAGAACAGTTAATGGGTGGAACCCACTAATTGTTGGTCATGGGCGTGGCTTTCACAATCCCTCCTTTTGGACAAGTAGAAAGAATTATATTGTAAGAGAAAGATGAATTATACTAAATTGAAAGAATACTGTTTGTCTTTGAACAGGAAAGAGTTGATTATGTTTGTAGGTATGGAGATCAGAATGAAGCCAGGTGTGCCTGGGATAACAGGAAAAGGCACATGCGGTGTTAGGTAGAAAGTAATTGAGGTAGCCAGGGAGATATGGACAGGAGATTGCTGCGTGCTTGTTGTGGAAATGAAGATACTTGACTAGTCTCATACTAATCATGTGAAGTTTTGCCACCTTTTAATCTTGTTAAGTTGGTTTTCTTTTGACTGTATAAATCAAAGGGGTTTGAGCCTTGTATGGGACTCACATTTTCTGGGTGTATTAGCAGAGCGGCTTTGCTAATAAACAGAGTGGTCTGACAAATCTGAGTCCTGTGCATCTGACTTTGACAATGGGCAAAAACCCACTTCGTCAGATGCATGTAGTGGAAATTCTAGAGGCAAGTATAAATATACAGGCATAAGAAAAGAGTACCAATCAAGAATAAGGCTGGAGATAATGAGGTCAATTCAGTGAGGGAGGATGAGGCCCAATTCTAGCAACTGATGTGGAGGTGTGAACACCAAGAGAGGAGAAACTGCTTTTGTAGTTGGCTAGCCATTCACAGTCTGTTTATAAGATACTAGGACACAGTCTAAGATTAAAAAAAGAAAAAAAACCCACTGATATAGGGCACCCTCTCCCTCATGGCAGCTCAGAAAAAACAGATGCAAGAAACATTTTCATGCTTCCATTGATTTTGAATGATATCTTCATGGCTCCCAATGCAGAGATCTCAAACAATAAAAAGAGGTGCCTCACTCCATGGTCAGATATTGCATAAGTCACCTGATCTAAGAGCCAAATCCAGGCAGCAACACTTGCTTTTAGGATTAAATACAAAGCTTATAATATTTCAGTTCAAAACACCGTCTGCTCATTTCAAGTCCCACAAGAATCAAAATTCTACAGATACCACATCAAAAGCCCATAGTATCACAGACCCATGTATAAGCCATAGCACTAAAGTTGTAATGAAGTGGGCCCCTACTGGTTGGTCTCAAGATTGTTCATCTGTGTGTCATATGGCCTATATGACTAACAATCAGTTAGGCTTCTGCCCTAGTTCAAGCAGTAAGATTCTTGTGCTTTCAGACCAGGAAGATCTAGGTTTTATTCCCATAATTTCCAAAGGGGAAAGCTGTCAAGTATGGTGACAGTCACAAGTCAGATCTATACCCAATTAAATTACATTCTTTATGTGTATATAAATAAGATTTCTTTTATTTCAAAAGCTTAAACCATTCTACAAATTTAGCGTACAGAGAATTTTCAGAAAGGATACTCCCAAACAGCATGGGCATGTGTATCTACCTAGTCCTAGACAAAGATATGCACACTTGTGGATGCAATGTAGATTATTACAATGACAGCAGTGCACCTAGATAACAAATATATTATCACCCTACCACGGGAGTTAACACTGTACCAGTCACACCAGCTTCCACGCAGCATGAGGTGGCTGAATACTATACAATCCCAATACTGAAAGTCAACTCACCCTGCCTGGTTCCTGTGTTTTCCCAACTTGCTACATCTGCTTATTTTAAAGGTAAGTATGATGTGGTCACTGATTAGCCAATCAGATTGCCATTTGGGTTACACATTTCCAGCCTTCTAAGTCTTAACAGAAGTTGGCAGGTTCCTCATGCAGCGGGACAGAGACCACTACAGATGGTTCCATAATGACTATCCTGTGGGATAGGGCTAATGGGAAGTAGGGAGGAGGAAGAGAACATGGGAGATAGGGAAGGAAAACTGGAATATTGTAAAGTATCAGAGGGGCAGCCGTGTTAGTCTGAATCTGCAAAAGCGACGAGGAGTCCTGTGGCACCTTATAGACTAACTGAAGTGTAGGAGCATAAGCTTTCGTGGGCAAAGACCCACTTCGTCAGATGCATGTAGTATTGTAGTAGTGGAATATTGTAGAGACTCAACAATCTTTTCTGCTCAAAATAAAGGGACACAGCTCCATCCACCCCCAAGTTCCTAACTTTTAATCTCATTCAAATGCAGATGAACCTGTGGATCAGAGAACACCTCATACACAATTCAGACAGTCTGGATACCAGGGGCGTAAAACAGCATTTGGTTAACTGGTTAAGCATATTGTTTAACTGGTTAACTGATTAAAGGGAGATGGGGAGCAGGAGCAGCCCCCTCCCACCAGGCTGTACCATTAAGGGTGTGGCTTACCAGTTAATCAATTAAACATTCACATCCCTACTGGATACAAATTCTCACCTGCATCTGAACTATTCACAAGCACGATGCAGTTCAAAGGGGGGGGGGGGTCAATTTATGTTTCCAGCCTGCTCCCAGGCCGTTTATGACCTTAAACTTCTCTTCTCAGGTTTCTGTAATGACCGGAGATGGGCTAACTATACACAAATCAATCCCACACACCACGTGTCTTCTCACCACGGCAATTTCCCTGCCTGCCTTGGTGGAGATGCTCTGTTTGAAAAATGCAGCAGTTTCCCCAGTTGTAGCCAATATTTATGTTTCCAGCCTGCTCCCAGGCCGTTTATGACCTTAAACTTCTCTTCTCAGGTTTCTGTAATGACCGGAGATGGGCTAACTATACACAAATCAATCCCACACACCACGTGTCTTCTCACCACGGCAATTTCCCTGCCTGCCTTGGTGGAGATGCTCTGTTTGAAAAATGCAGCAGTTTCCCCAGTTGTAGCCAATATTTCAGCCCGAGAATGCAACAAACTACAAAGAAATCCAGTTATTTCTAATCCATTTGCCGAGCCACACGGCGGTATCAGAGTGGGAGTTTGCAGTCTTACACAGTTCAGAGAAAAAACCCTAATGCACATTACATGAAACTGCAACTCAGGCTCATCAGAAACCGTCAGATTACCCCAGGCAAATAATCTACAACTGCCTCTCCACTGCTTTGAAAGCAAGCAGGCTGCAAATTGCACATCAATCCCATCACTGTACCGTCATCACTACAGTTTTGAAACTAGCAACAGGACAGTCATACGAACCTGACGACCGCGTCTTTGGGCTGCTGCTCCTAGAAACATCGCGTCCCGGAATGGCCAGTCACCTGTGTTTTTTGACACAGCCGTGGCTCATAAGCCGGGCAGCTTTTCAGCCGCTCTGATCCTCAGTGAACACGCCAACCAGTTCCCACGATCGCGCCGCGTTCACCAGCCCTGGGCAAGTTTTACAAGCAAGAACTTCCCCGGACAATTCCCTGCCACCCTCTGCAACCCACCGAGGCTTGCATGTAACAGAGCTGTTGCATTCCCTCCCCCCACACAACACACACACACACACACAAGCAGAGCAGCGAGGAGTGGAGGAACCCGAATTCTGGAGAGCTGTTTGTTTCAATTCACACAGCAATCCTCTCGGCAAACCCACTCGGCGTGTAACCCAAACACCAGCCAGGGCCTGAGAGCAGGGACTGGAGCAATCAGCTATTTTCTCACACGCACACGGGCTGTTCCCAGCTCTCCCCTCTGCTAGCAAGTCCAGGGCAGGCAGGCGCCAGGGGGCCAGACGTACCCGGCTTGCTCTCCTCGCGGGCCGCTCGCATGGTGGGAGGTTTGGGGGCTGCGCGTGTGGCTGGCGCTTGCATTCTGTCGCTCGCCTTCTCCCCGGCTCCTCCCCGCAGCGCAGGAAGTGCACGGCGCCCTACCTGTGCGGCTTGGAATTTGACCCCTTGGCAGGTTGCGGAGTGTGCTGCCATGATGTCACGGGCCGGGAGGTGGGGTTTGCCAGCCCCACGAGGTTTCCCGGCAGAGGATTCCTGTGCCCGGGACAGGGAGGGCAGAACGAAGCGTCTTTCGCAAGCTCTTGGGGCATCCCCCTCACTCCTGATCCTGGTCAGCGCCCCGACTGTGCAGATGATCGTGGAGTTAGCAGGAGAGGCTCTGCACAAAGCGGGAGGAAGCGTGTTGCTGCCTTAGAGGGGGGAGAAGGGTTCTCGCCTTTCCCATTGGAAGAAATTAAGGCAGTAGAATCAAAATTGGTCCTACTCTGCAGCTCCCCTGCGATTCATGAACTCTGGTAGATGACTCTTCTGAACAACACTGGAGGATCAACAACTTGGCAGGCCTGGTGATACAAGCTGTAGTCCCAGTTCTGCCTCTGGCCTTCTGGGAGACACCCTCACCCCTGCTCTGTCTGTCTTGTCTATTGAAACTGTATACTCTTTGGCTGTGTCTAGACTGGCCAGTTTTTCCAGAAAATCAGCCGCTTTTCCGGAAAAATTTGCCAGCTGTCTACCCTGGCCGCTTGAATTTCCGCAAGAACACTGACTTCCTACTGTCTGAAATCAGTGTTTCTTGCGGAAATACTATGCTGCTCCCGTTCGGGCCAATCTAGACACTCTTTTCCGCAAATGCTTTTAATGGAAAACTTTTCCCTTAAAAGCATTTGCGGAAAAGAGTGTCTAGATTGGCCCGAACGGGAGCAGCATAGTATTTCCGCAAGAAACACTGATTTCAGACAGTAGGAAGTCAGTGTTCTTGCGGAAATTCAAGCGGCCAGTGTAGACAGCTCAGACTTGTTTTCCGCAAAAAATCCCTGATTGCGAAAATGGCGATCGGGGCTTTTTTGCGGAAAAGCGCGTCTAGATTGGCAGGATTTTCCAGAAATGCTTTTAACAGAAAAGTTTTCCATTAAAAGCATTTTCGGAACAGAGCATCTAGATTGGCACGGATGCTTTTCCCCAAAAAGCACTTTTTGCAGAAAACCATCCGTGCCAATCTAGACGCAGCCTTAAGGTGGGGTCTGCCCTGATTGGAGCTTTTAGGCAGCAAAACTGCCAAAGTCACATAGTCGAACTCCAGTTTTCAAAGAAGTGACCTCAGCACTTTACCCAGGACTTTCAATAAGGCCAAGATGCCTGCATGCCTAAGAGAGTGCAATAAAAGTAATCCAAATTAACTCGGGTGTGAATGTAAAGAGTCTTAGTTAAATCACATTATACACGTGTAAACACACTTCTTGAGAAGTAAAGGGATCTTAATTTGATTTAATTTAATTTACTTAATTCATGAAGCGAATTAAGCTAAGCTAAGACAAGGTCACTTTAATTCCGAGGGGTTTAGTGCAATTTCATCCACTTCAAACATTAATTCAGATTCATTTTCCTGAGTGTTCCCTCGGAGACACTGCTGCAGTATAAATACTAAGAAAGATAGCAGCAGGTTGTCCATACACTACTCTCCAAGGTCCTATCTGTGCAATAACTGTCTCTTTACTAGCCCTTTTGCTACTATTTTATTGGCAACAGTGCAGGTCCATTTCTAATAACAATGGTAGGGAAACTGAGGCACGGGGATGGTAGCTTGAACAGCATGACACTGTTCTGTATAGAAGATAGTAGATGACTCCAGTGAAAAAGGACTATCAAGCCTTGTGAGTTTAACTCCCGTTTAGTTTGGGGGTAACGGAAAGCTGTCAACAGCTGCTGCCTATTTGATGTTGTACACGAAATATTTTCCATAAATTTTCACAGACCATTGCCGGTGGAAATATCCACAACACAAATCTGCTCCTTAGCGCTGACAGCTCTATCTCAGAATGGAGGGCAAGAACTGAAAGAGTCATGAAGCCTGCACATTCCCTCTCCCCCCAGAAATGGTTTCCCATGGCAGGCATAGCACCCTGGAGTGGAGCGATGTGTGGAAGAAGTTTGCCCTGTACCTGTGGTGAAGAGGCCTTAGCCTAGACCACAGGAGACACCCTGTCCCCTTTCACCAGCACTAAATTCACTAGTAATTTTTGTCTGAAGCAGCCCATGCCCCTGCTGGTGCATGCAGCCTTATAAATGTGCTACGGGAGGAGGTCCCCAAGCTAAGACACCCCCAGCGAATAAGGCGTGCCAATGGAACTCATGCCTATTGGGAAAGACCTAGTCAGAGCGTAACCACCTAGCAGATCTCCTTCAGCTACCAGAACCCAAAGGCCTGGCAGGGCGGGGCACAGGAGGGACCATAAAGGGTAGAGATGGCATAAGAACCTTGGGTGGGGGAGAGGAGGGCAGGAAGGCAGGAGATGAGCCAACAGAAAGAGAGAAGATGGCATCCTGAGGGGGGATAAATACAACAGCAACAGGGCCAGAGATGGAAATTGAAATGTGCCTTTAAACGGACGTTGTAGGCTGACGAGGCCTCATATGAATGGGAAGAAGCCAAACGGAACAGGTGCAAGTTGCTACATTCTCCACTACGATTTGCTTTTTTATCATCCAGGCTGCTGCACGACTCCTGCCCTGAGAACCAGGCCCCATCTGTAATTTATATGCCACGTCGAAAAGGTGGAGCAGGCAGACATTGGGGGGGTGGGCGTGGATTTATGGCTGTCTCATTGTGCCTTGTAATGGCAAACGTGGAGCAATAAATATTGATGGATTGGATGGGTTGGGACCTTGGACGGGCAGACACATTTCAGATGCCGAGATGAGGTCACATGACCTTGTTTCACACTACTGTCTTGCTGCTGCTCAAGGCTGGTCTGTGATTGGCCGAGACAAGGTCACATGACACGTTTTGCATCTAGTAAACAACCTGCAGGCTTCTTTCCAAATAACTCATCTGGTTTATTTCCATTCTTTCCCACTCCCATGGGGCCAGCTTTAAGCAGAGGCAATGAGAGGCAGCTGTATAGGCTGCAGCATCTCAGGGGGTGCTGGAACAAGCAAAGTCCACAACAGAAAGGCCACAACGAGCCATGCTCTCAGCCTCCAGGAGCTTATAGAACAGCTTCATAAACCCAAATAACCATTGTACATTGCCTTTTTGCAGCCACTGAACACAACAGAACTGCCAACAAGTGTGAATTAAGACTCTCAGCCTGCATGGTAGTAGGTATATCTCCATTTACAGATGGGGAAACCGAGGCACGGCACTGTAGTCCAAGGTCACACAGTGAGCAGCATTGCCAAGAACTCCTGAGTCCCTATCTCATGTGCCTTAGCCATAAACCATGCTCCGCTATGCAATGAAGGCAACAAGCTAGTGTGGGATGAAACCAAAGGTCAAAATCTTGTCTTCTCTATTCCCGTCTTCTTACATATTACCAGGAGTGCTTATCACTGAGTTCTCCTGAGTCTCCTGCAGATGTGCCTTTCTGTAGCTTGAGTCATATCTGCCCCAGAATCTGAGCCATGTGCATAACAAATCTCTTAAGTAAACAGCAAGAGCAGTTCCCAGAAATCAATATCATAGGCATCTCATTACAGCTTGTGACCATGGCTAGGCGTGCACTCTCCATTTCATTCTCCACCAGCTCCATGCAGATACTTGCAAGGCAGACTGGTTGGTAGCATTATGTCATTCAAAGCAGGCATCCCCCTTTCTCCCGATGACAGCTGGTAATGTAATTCACATGCCTAGAGCGCGTCTAGACTACCGTCCTCTTTCGAAAGAGGAATGCAAATGAGGGAAATCGAAAATGCAAAGTACTGATTTACTAATCTTGTGCTTAATTTGCATAATCTTTTCTGATCATTTATTCGGAAGAGATTTTTTTGAAAAAAAAATGCAAGTTTTGATGGGATTCTTTAACAAAAAAAACCTTTTTCGAAAGAACCCTTATTCTTGAAAAAAATGAGGTTTACAGGGTTCTTTCGAAAAATGTTTTTTTCCAAAAGAACTCCGTCTAGACTGCTTTTCCCC